CTTATCAGAATTCAAATCCAGGGAATTTCATTCAGAACTGGGCACTTGACCATATGCTCCACTATCTCCAATTCTGTACTGAACTCTTAGTTCTCAAAACTGAGCTGGATCTCATCTCTTCCTCTCAGCCTCTACTATTATAGACACAGTTCAGTTTTTCATCATCTCCTTCTTGGACCATAAAATAGCTTCCTTCTCTTATTATCTCTGGTACTGTCTCCTTAAAATTCATTTCCACAAAACACAAAGATTTAAAATGAAACTATGACCACATTGCTCTCCTCAATGGCTCCATTACCATGCTCAGGATTATGCCCAAGTTACTTAGTATGGTGTACGAGCACCTTCATAATTGACCCCTGCCTATGACTCCAAATTTGACCTCATATAAGTTCATTGTAGGCTGTAGTTCCTTTCAAGATAGCAGTTTCTATAGGCACAGTATTATTTATTCCTTGTAATATGTAATAAATATGTAATAATGTAAATGTAAATTTACATGTAAATGTAAATGTATGTAAATGTAAATTATGTAATAAATAAATCACTGTGTATATAATAAATTTTATCTGTACAGCCCCAGGTTTTCTAAATGGGCTCAAGTTAACAGTAGAAAGAGTAGTTGAAATGTTTAGTAAGCCTCTGTTTTCAGTTGCTGTCAACTTTAATGACGATTCCAATTATATGTTTTCTTGAATATGGGTTCTTCCCTTCCTTAAAAAAAAAAAAGCATTTGCTTTTTGAAAGAAGAGTGTCAATATACTGAATGCATTTATTTATTAATTCAACAATCATTTGTTTAGCCTGCTTTACAATGTTAGTTTCTCAGGATTATATGGTAAATAAAATGACTAGAAATTCAACTAAGGGTATATATGATACAGCAAAACAAAGACCAGAACAGAAAGGAAAGCAAAGGCTATTGCATTAATTTGCAGAAAAGGCATGTAATGGAGGATTCAGAGAAGACAGCTGAGAGTAACGTGGCAATCAAAAATCAGATCAGGAATGACCTTTGTCCCCGTGCCAAGGGGATTGATTATTATCCTGCAGGCTGCAGGGAGACGTCACCAAATTTAAGCAACAGATTTCAGAGGCAGCGTAGTTCTGGTGAACACAAGGTTAAGGATGTGGCTGGAGATGTGAGTGACTCGAGTGGGACAGATATAGGAAGTTAAGAGATAGCAAGAAATTATTGGCAATTCAAATGATATAGAAGTTATTCAGGGGGCTTCCCTGGTGGCGCAGTGGTTGAGAGTCCGCCTGCCAATGCAGGGGACACGGGTTCGAGGCCTGGTCTGGGAAGATCCCACGTGCCGCGGAGCAACTAGGCCCATGAGCCACAACTACTGAGCCTGTGCGTCTGGAGCCTGTGCTCTGCAACGAGAGGCCGCGATAATGAGAGGCCTGCGCACCGCGATGAAGAGGGGCCCCCGCTTGCCACAACTAGAGAAAGCCCTTGCACAGAAATGAAGACCCAACACAGCCAAAAATAAATAAATAAATAAACAAGCCAAGCATTTGAAGCCCTTTAAAAAAAAAAAAGTTATTCAGGATTTTGTTAGGATTTGGGGCGGAAAGGATGATTATAATCCAGGTGCATTTTACAAACCTTTGTTGACTTACAAAATCTTACATTCTCATGGAGATCCAGATTTAAAGAGAATTATAATGAAAACCTGAAACCTGATTTACAAGTTGTTACTTTCAACAACAAAAGCAGAGAAGACTAAAGAAAAACAAGTGAAAAGGAACTAATTCCTAGATGTAATCATCACTTTTTTCCCCCATAATTGCAAGCTTCAGTTGTTCTTGATCATTACTTACAAAGTACTTACAAAGCAGCCAGTAAACTTTCACCTAGAATGTAACCACTAATTATGTATTTAACCATAGCTAAGTCTTTTACCATAGCTAAGTGTTCTTATATTCTAAAAAAGAATAGAAAATATATATTTTTTATTGGCATACAGTTGCTTTACAATGTTGTGCTGGTTTCTGCTGTGCAGCAAAGTGAATCAGCTATATGTATAAATATATCCCCCCTTTTTTGGATTTCCTTCCCATTTAGGTCACCACAGAGCATTAAGGAGAGTTCCCTGTGAAGAATAGCAAATATTTATTGAGTGTTTGCTAGTGCCAATAACTTTCTGAATGTTTCACATACATAGACTCATTTATCTTTACAAGGAAGGCATTATTATTTCTGTTTTACAGATGAGGAAACTGAGGCATGATGAGGATAAATAATTTGCCCAGATCTCACTCCTGTTTGGGGCAGAGTTGGGATTCTAACCTATGCAGTGTGTTCTAGAGCCAGAGCCGCATTTGAAACAAGAGGCACTGAGGATGTGTGAATTATCAGAGTAAGGTGTCATTATCAATGGATATTCCCCATGGAATGATAGGTCCGTAGAATTCTTTCAAAAACTGAAAGACAGTAAGTTATTGCCAATAAGTAACTAAAACAAGATTTAAAAAATTAATTCATCCAGTAAAATGTGGTTGAGCACCTACCCTATACATATATTGAGTATTGGTAATAGCTAGAAGGAAGAAAAATATGCATTGTTTGCCTTCAGGCACTATAATAATAACCTACACGAAAAAGTAGGTCAAGTATGTCATTGAATATTAGAACGTGCAGAACGTAGCCCTCTCTAAGAAGTCAAAATCGAGATGTCCACTCGAAAAGCTCATGCACGTTCTTTTATGTTCAGCTCTTCATTTTCCAAGACCATAACAGATTAGAATAAGGGGAGCATCAGTATTACTAACACCAAGGGTGCGATCTGGGGACTTTAACAAGCCCCCAGCCAACTCCATCAGCGCTGTTTCTCAGGTGGCACCAAATTAATACTCAGGTCCACAATCCCTGTCGGTTTTTTCTAAGCTTGATGCCAAAGCTCATTTGAAGGCCTTCATCTGATCTGAACTGATAAAAAGTTATCGTCTTCATTTCTTCCACTTTGTGTGAACATGGGTTAATTTTGCCACAGACATATTAATGTGTTTGATTGTAAGATGCTGCTCCCAGCTCCGCCTGGGGTGTAAGTGATATACAGGGTAAGCACCACATCACCTTTGTAAGACCCAAACCCTCTGAATGTGGAAGTACATCTGTTTCCAGGGTTGTAGATAAGGGAAAACAGCATGCTTACTCTCCCAATGCAACTTCAAGACCAGTCCCAGGCAAGCCCCCAGCCCTCACTTCTTGGTTCACACCCGTTACTAACCCTACAGAGAAGCTAGGAGGCTGGTGACAGTGACAAAGACAGGAAGGCTGTACAGCACAGACCTGAGAACTAAAAAAATAAAACAACACAACAATAACCCTTCTTGCATCAGAAGTGACAGAGGTTCCCTTATCTTTGCATACTCTTTTGAAGAAAGTAGAACATGTATAATTCTTCTTAGAAAGATGATAATCTGCCCCTCGAAACATATACTTAAAGAAGGTTAACCTAGCATGATGGGAAAGATCGATAATCCAAAATGTTCCCTGCGATTTGTGAGAAACTGATTTTATTCTGGACTTATAGGCACCAAAAATATGACAACGTGGTCATATGTGAAAAAAGATGCCAGTCAAATAAGTAGGGACATTAAGTCGTTAGCATTCATGGGAGAGCATGATCACTTCAGGCTGCAATGGGTAGGGCTTGACTTACAACATTGTTAGAGATAAAAGGAATATTAGCTACAATTATTGAAAAGTATATATGTTTTTCAAACTGGTGGGAGTGTCAGTGATAATGAAGGACATTGTAATGACTGAATAAAGTGAATTTTGTGGGTCACCAATGGGACCAATTAGAGAAACAGATTATTGTAGCTACTGGTTCAGAATAAACTATTATTTTTTATCATATCTTGTTTAGAGCCCCCCAAATATCTCTAAAGGTGATAAATATTAATCCTTTGAATGAGGAGGTAGAGTTTGTGGATGGCTCTAGAGAATTTAAATTTTTTTTTTTTTTTTTTGGCTCTAGAGAATTTAGGTGACTTGTAGAAAGGTGGTAGGTTTGAGGTAGCATTTTGTAGAGTAAAAATCACTTTAAGAAACAGTTTCACCAGAACTGGAGGGGTTTGAGGTGAGTGACTACAGCCACTCACACTAGTCAAGCAGGTATTACAGGGGGGACTAGTGAAGGAAAACAAGTGTAAAGATGGTTTTTCATTGGTAGGTTAGCGAAAACTGAGCCTCAACAGCATGGAAGCAGTGTACACAGTCCTTAAATCAGCACTCATTTAATTTTTAGTTTCATCAGTACCTTAGATGATTCTCTTTACAGAGTTTAAGTATTTCCCAAAACTCTATCACTGCATGCATGTTACTGAAGATTGATTGTAGACTATTGCATA